TTCCCTTAAGGAGACAGTTCTCAATTCCTAATTAACTATCCCAAATCCCATTAACTCTAAACTGTTTGGACAGCACAGTGGAAGTTCTCTCACATGTCAGGGTTGTGATGAGAAGCTTTCTGTAAGCATCAGGAATTACTAAGGCAGGAGGTAGAATTAAGGTGTGTAGACCCAGAGGACTTCTGAGACAGGGGTTTCAGACCTTTAAACTTTACTTGATAGGCTAAACTCTACTGCTACGCATTGTGCATTTCACATTAGGCAACATTGATTATGATCATGTAAGAGATTAAATCATAAGCAAAAAAGTTACATTTTTGTAGGCTTAGAGAAATACCTTGTGCAGATAATTGGTACATCTACGGTTAAAATCTATATATACAAAAGCGAAATACCACTCATGCATCATCACAAAATCTCTAGAACCGTAAAGCCTACAAACTTAAAATTTGGCACATATGTTCCTTTTGGCTTCTAGGTGCTCACTAAGAAAAAATTGTTTGAAATGACCATCAGAGTATTTCCTATATTATTAGTAACACGCTCTGATGCTAAGGAATTCTACTCCTCATCCCCACCTGAAAATAAATATGTTCCAAATGCAAAACACAAGCAGAGGAGAGGAGTTTCACTTTCACTTTCACAGCACCAAGCAGCTTTAGTACAGAACAGTTGAGCTAAGCCACGCCCAGGCTCCTTGCTGTTTCCTTCTTGCTCACACAGCAAATACTGTTTCACTTTCCAAACAGCCCTCAACTCTCTCACATACTGACAAGACTCTAGCCAGATGAATACCAATGGATACTGGTAGGCAGAGGAAGAATCTCACCCCCTTATTTTCCTCCCCAAAAACTAAGATCTGAAAAGGTTAAACAACTATACCAGGCTTTGTTAATTCAATAGCAAGAAAAGGTAGGAATACTAACATTTTGCTTTGGATACCCACATTTAAGATTTTACTGACACATCTTTTGTTAACCCTCTTTGGAATAATTATTTGTATTGTACTAATATTAGTAATAATCTGCTCACCAACGAACCAAATGTATTGCCAATTTTTTACTTCAAAACCACACTTGCTCTTTTTTACTGTGTATTTGAAAACTCTGAGCATTCAAATGCTGGGGAGGAAAATAATAATAATTTCAGATAATATAAAGCCATATTAATTCTATGCTGTTACTATTAAATTCTTAGTACAGTTCAACTGTTGTTGCAGATAAAAGAAAATCAAAGTAATCACTACATATTTATGAGCTGCAATTGCATCTCATAAAATTACAAAACAAATAAATTTACATTTTTCACTGTGCTGGTATCTGCAACAGGATCTAGTAATTCTTGTTACAGCTTTGCCAGAAACAAATTATAAAATAGTAACACAGAAAGCACACACTGTTCCATTCCCACATATATTCAGTGTTTGAGGAAACTGTAATTTAAAAAGGTCTCAGTTCAAACACGATGGTGGAAAATTTCTATTTCTCTTAAGAAATTGGATTAGTATAGAGGTGGAATTACACTGATACTGATAGCGGTATAACTTGTTTAAAAATATAGACAATTTCATAGAGTTAATACCATGCACAGCAAGTACTATTCTTAGAGACAGCCGCATGCATCCATCTCACAATTTAAAAATCGAAATTTTATTTTGAAATAACCTGAATTTTGCATGTACTCATATACCATATGCCTCATAAATAGGAAATCATATATAGCATTAGAAATCATCTTGTAAAATTATGAAATAAATCCATTGTTACATAAGGTTTTCTTTAAATTTCCATTTAAGGTCTATTTCATAGGCAGAACCTAAATGAAAATAAAGTAATAACCAGGAATTTACGAATCCAAATTACACAGATTAAACCATTTAGAGTTTTTAAGTATCCATAACAATAGCAAGGCTCTACCATTAGGGAAAAAATTAACAAAAATCCCAACAGGCTACCAAAGCAAATACAACTTTCATTAAGTTCAGTTCAAAATCTTAAAATAAATATATCTATATCCAGCAATAGAGGCCTACCTGAAGCTGATATGAATGCAAATTTATAATTTACAGTGACAATCTGCACCCATTTCAGGTAGACAGTTCGAGACAACATTCCTTACAATCTTGAGAGAAAACTAACGCTAATGAGATATTAACTTTCCAGTAGCTCCTATTCAGGAAACTACTTAAGAAAAAAAACCAGATTTGTTCAAGTATGTTTGAGATTCCTCAAACACTGATGAATACGTAGTCCTCAAGTTATGACTGCAATTGAAACCAAAATGTATGTTGCTAAGTGAAACATTTGTTAAATGAGTTTGCCCCATTTTATGACTTTTCTTTCCACAGCCTTTAAGTGAATCATTTTTTAAGTTAACAACATAGTTGTTAAGTGAATCTGGCTTCCCCATTGATTTTGCCTGTCAGAAGGTTGCAAAAGGAGATCTCATGACCCCAAGACACTGCAACCATCATAAATGTGAGCCAGCTGCCAAGCATCTGAAATTTGATCATGTGACCATGAGGCGGCTGCAATGGTCGCAAGTGTGAAAAATGATCATAAGTCACTTTCACCAGATAGAATAATAAATATCAAGAACATATAGGTAGTCTTTGACTTATGACAGTCCTTGAGCCACCAATTTACAATTAGTACTTGTAAAGTGGGTTGCCATATGACTATGCCTAATTTTACAACCTTTTTGCAATGGTCATTAAGTGAATACAGTGGTCATTAAGTGTTCACTATGGGGTGGGTTTTGCCAGAAAATGCTAACCAGAAAAAATATAAATCATGGTTACATGACCAAGAGACACTGGAAACAACATAAATGGGAATAGTTACCAAGCACCCAAAACATGTGATTGCGATGTGTGTGTGTATGAACATCAGAATTTCAATTCCAAGTTGCAAGTCCCATTTTCAGAATAATTTTTATGAAAATTATTTTCCTAATTTCAAATGGTTAAGAAATTGGTTATAACTCAAGAACTAGTAGCAGTGCCTTACTGGAATGGACTTCTGCTACAACTAATCAATAGAAATATGGTGCAAAGATATATAGATATAGATATATTGCTTGAAAATGGGAGAATATGTGGAATAAAGATTTAAAATTTACATTAAACTATAACTTAAAAGAAAATTTCTATAAGATGATGCATCATTGGTATATAACTCCAGATAAGTTGTCAGGAATGCATAAAGGTATTTCGAATGAGTTAGGAGTAGGATTCATATCTTAATACAGAAAAGTATTAAAGTGAATATAGAAAGAAAACCAGAGACATTTCTTTTGAAAAATTGAAAAACAATCAAAAATAAAATTCAGAATTTTGTTGTTATATATGTTGACAGCAGCAAGACTACTTTATACACAGAAATGGAAGGTCATCTCAATCCCCACAATGGATGAATGGCTGGAAAAACTGATGGAGTTAGCAGATGAATAAATTGACTATTTTGATCAAAGAAAAAAATGCAAATACTTTTATTTCTACTTGGAAACCACTTCTGGACTTTGTACTTGGAAAAAAATGAAACTTTGATTTTGGGTTTTACCAATTAGGGAGATTTCGTTGTTGTTATAGAAATGATTAGTTTATACTATTATATAAAAGTAAAAAGTTGAAGTTTGATATGGATGTCTTATTCTACTGCACCAAAGGGAGTTGGAAATCAACGCTTTTTTAAAAATTTTCCCCTTGCCTTCTCCCACTTTTCTCTTCCCTTCTCCCTTCCCTAACTTCCCTATTATTTTCTTTGTATGTTATATTATAAATTAATAAAAAAATAAAAAGAAAAAAGAAATATGATGCATATATATAGACTCTTTCTATAGAAAAGATTGAAAAAGTATTATCAGGGGTAGGATTCAAAATTTTTAACAACCGGTTCTGTGGGCATGGCTTAGGTGGTGGGCGTAGCTTGGTGGTCATGTGACTGGCTAAGTGTGGCCAACTCAACATCACTCACATCGAGGCATGCATCTCCTCTCCTGCCTCTCGTGACTGTGGGGATGCTGCAACAGTCGTAAGTGTGAAAAATGGTCATAAGTCCCTTTTTTCAGTGCCATTGTAACTTTGAATGGTCACTCCACACAAGCAAAGTAGCAGCAAAGGAGGGGGAAAAATACTCCAGAGAGGTTCCTGAGACAGGAAGTCTAGTCCTGCCAAGAATGTAATAAGGGTTAACGGAGAGGCAGTTTGTGTAAGCAACACCAGAATGTTTCCTTCCTGCCTTCCTTACAGGATTAAGCCAGTAATTTCTTCTAACAACCAGTTCTCCGAACTGCTTAGAATGTTACCAACCGGTTCTAGCGAATAGGTGCGAACTGGTAGATCCCACCCCTGAGTATTATTAACAAAGTTTAGATAAGGACTTGGAACATGGTGCTGTAATTAGTTTGGAGTACAAGTGCCAAAATAAAACAAGCCACAATGTGGGACCATATTTTAATACAAAATGGGAAGTGAGTCAATATGGGAAGTTACGTCTTATTGACATATTTATGATATATTTACATTTTTGTATGTTTATTGATTTTCCTCACGATTTTTAAAATATGACCATCATTTGTCATGGCTTTTTTTTTAATGAAATGCGATTAATAAACAGCAATAATAACCTACAGTCAAATTGCCACTTCTGGATCAGCGATATGCAAATATTGCTGATTGTTTTTTCCATTACAATATCTTAGTTACCAATTAGGCGGCAAACAAAACCAATCATTTTTTCAAAGCTGTCATTTCCCTTTCAATAATCCTCCATTTCTGCTAATTATATACTAGATATTTCACAACCGAGACTTAACACAGACTTGAAGTTAGGTCTTTTGTTTTATGAAGGAGACTTTAACGCTTCCAGTTTTTAGCTTTCATTTTTAAATATTTCTGCCTCACAGGGTAGCAAGGCTCGTAGCTAATGAAAAAATGAGGTTACAGCATGGACAAGCTGAAATTTAGGAGAGGGGAGGGTTAGTGGAGAATGTGGAGTCATTAGAAAAACAAGTGTGTTCAATCTTGCTGCACATGTTTGTCCCTTATTTTAAAAGGCACTGAGAAAAATCATGCTCTATCATTTTCGCTCTAAATGTTCCTGGTACATACTGCAAGTACTCAGGGCCCATGACTAGAGGTTGCTCATCCTAGTTTTAAAGCCAAAATTAGACATCATTTCCTTAAACTCATCAGTTCATATATACTTTCATATCTTTCTCACTAACAAGTTTACTATTACCTCTCTTCTTTTGAAAAACATAATTCTATTTCTGGAGGCTGGCCAGATAACATGTCCTTTATATATTAAAGAAAAATACCTCATATGGTAACTGAGTTAGAGTTAACCAGAAAGTTACCATTTTCAATTTCTTCTTAAATTTTTACTTCTACAATTATGGTTAATTTAGAATCCTAAGTTTGACTAGACTTTTATATTACTTAAGGCAGAGCTTCCCAAACCTTTTCCTTATCAAACAACTTATCTGAAAGTCCTTCTTACCCAATCTAGGTAAAACACCTCAAGTCAATTTAAATATTCTCATTATGATTGAGTAATGATGTTGTCTATTATTAACTAAAGAAAAACCACTTTTACCCAGTTTTGAGTAATTTATCCAGGTTTGGAAAGCCCTGACTTAAGGAGACAACATTCTCTCCATTCTACTTGAATTTATCTTACGCTTGAAAAAAAAATAAACTACAAGTCTTATACCGAAAATAACTCAAGCTGATCAGATATATCTAGAGCAAATGCTACAATGGAAAACTTACAGCCCAAAAATTAATGTTGAGATCATTGTTCCACACCTTGGCAAACAATGTTATCATATGTGTAAACAAAATTAAGCAAAGCTTAGAACAGAGGTAGAGAAAAAACATTCCTGTGAAGTGTGACTCTTTTATGCAAAAGAATTACCAATTAGTAACTATCAACCACACAGGTTGAGTTACATTGGCAATTGGGACTGGAATTTCTGTCATTAAGTGATGCAGATATAAAGTGTGACATCATATGACCATATCCGTGTAAGGTTGCATTTAGCAAAAATTATGCAATTTAACAGATGAAAGCAAAAATAGATTTTGTGTCCATCATCAAAGTTAGACAATCATTGAATTGATGTTTGTGTGCTATGCTGCCTATCTAGTGCCACAATTGGTAGCCACACGAAAACAGATTCAGCAGAAACACCAGGAAGAAAAAGAGAAAAGTCACAGAACATAGAAAAAATAAAGGTTACTAAAATATCACATTTTCAGATTTTTGAAAAAAAAAATATTTTTGGTTACAAATTCTGAACACTTTCCAGAGTTTTAAAATAAAAGAAATGTTTAATCTTTTGATTTATTTTATGACAAGCAACATGATAGTAGAACAGCAGTACTACTTCAAAAGGTGCCCTTTGTTTCAGAAGATGTTTTTTATGGATATACCCTACCATGAAAGTTTAACTGACAAACTCCATTGATGAAAAAACTTGCAGGATATACAGGTAATCCTCAAAGTATGACAGTAATCCAGCCCAAAATGTGTTGTTAAGTGAAACATTTGTTAAGTAAGTTTTGTCCCATTTTACAACCTGTCTTGCCACAGTTGTTTATCAGGGCACTTGTTAAATTAGTAACATGGCTGTTAAGTGAATCTGGCTTTCCCATTTACTTTGTTTATCAAAAGGTTGCAAAAGGTGATCGCTGCATCTGTCATAAACATGAGTCAGTTCCCAGCACCTGAATTTTTATCACATGATCATGGGATGCAGTAATGGTCATAAGTATGAAAAAGTCACTTTTTTCAGTGTTGTTGTAACTTTGAACAGTCACTAAAGTAACTAACTGTTATAAATCAAGGACTATCTGAACAGCAACTTGCAAACTAACTAAAGTGCAGAGAAGAACAACTTAGGGGACCGGAGACTAAAACATACAATGAACGGTTGCAAGTACTTAGCATGGCTAGTCTAGTGAAGAGAAGGACCAGGGGAGACTTGATAGTAGTGTTCCAGTATTTGAGGAGTTGCCACAGACAGAAGGGGTCAAGCTATTTTCCAAAGCACCCGAAGGCCAGACAAGGAATAATGGATGGAAACTGACCAAGGAGAGATTCAACCTAGAAATAAGGAGAAATTTTCTGACAGTGAGAACAATCAACCAATGGAACAGCTTGCCTTCAGAAGTTGTGGGAGCTTCATCACTGGAAGCTTTCAAGAAGATATTAGATTGTCATTTGTCAGAAATGGTATAGGGTCTCCTGCTTGGGCGGGGATTTGGACTAGAAGATCTACAAGGTCCCTTTCAACTCTGTTAATCTGTCAAATCTGTTAACAAAACGGAAAAGTTAGGTAAGAAGAGTGAGAATTTATCTATCCATTTTCTGCCTATCAGTGTTATAACTGAATAGAGTAGGACAAAGTACAGAATACAGTACAGTACAGTACAGTACAGTACAGAGGGAGATACTATCAAAAGAAAATGTAGGTTTCAAAATAAACAAAATCTTGGAGGAATCTATGGAGAAAAAAATCCTGAAAAATTCCTACAGCACATCCCTACAGGGGAGGCAAATGGAAAGCATATCAGAACATTGATGACTCCTTCATTCTAAGTACTCGTTACTGGTCATGTGACCCAGAATGGATTACTGTACTACAGTATAGTAATCTACTCTATGCTTACCTATACACACAGAGACGTAACATAAAGGAAAAACAACATGCAGAAAAATTGAACACATTATTCATTATGCAGAATAAAATACAGGGCCTCGTATGGTCTTTGGAAGAGAGTTAGGAAAGAATTTCAGAATTCATGCTCTACATACTTTCCCTACTTTGTTTTATAAGATGTAAATTGTTTTGCACAGCTATTGACTGAAATAAGTATTTTCTATCCAGAAGATTCATATGCAGCATCACACAATAAATAATGCAAATCATTTTTAGCAGATACAAAATGAGTATAATAGAAGAAATGTACCAATTGTTTTTGGCAATGCTTGTATTTTCATAACATCTTCAGTGATTGTAGGAAAATAATTGTCAGCTCTAATCCTAAGCACGCTTAAAGGAATTTATTCCTGGGTAAACGTGTAAAGGATTATACTGGAATGCATGAAAGTAATTTCTAAATCCATGGATGAACTGTTAATGGTAAAGAAATAAGTGCATTCTCAAGTATTGGTGAAATTAAAAAATGAAAGCAAATCCATTGGAAAAGCTATTTTTTGCCCACATCTTAGAAGTCAGGGTACAAATAATTTATTACAGCTCTCTATTTATCATTTTAATTTGTAAAAAGATTAAAAGATAGCTGCATTGACCTTTAATATTTTTGTTAAGTCACTACCCAAAGAAACCCAGGCATAGTTCTTCCAATTATGCAATGCAAAGAGAGGGAAGTCACTCAAACCTCACTACTGAGCATTAATGAGGGGGGGGGGGTGAGGGGGACCAGATTGCAAGGATTCAGACTTATGATGCATTCAAAAACCTTACATTCCAATTTAGTAAACGAGTCTTGCAAGCATTAAGAAATACTAAGATCCTTACTGCAAATTAATATAAGAATCAAATGTCTAGTAGTTTTTCACTACCTATTGCAACTGATTAGGACAGTGAGAACTGAAGTCCTAAATATCTAGAGAATTTCTCCTCCAGCATAGTTCTTCAACATAAGGATTGTTTTTGTTTTGGTATTTGATTTTTGTTTTTCACAAATTAAAAAACCTGAATAGAAATTAGAGAAAACTCGTTGTATACCTATTAAGTAATTATTATAACTTTAAGGTACCATTTTATATTATAAGAGTGAGTTTAGCCCAGTGATGGCTAACCTTTTCGTCATCGCATGCCAAAAGTGAGCGCACGCATGCGTGCCTGCTTGTACCCATAATGCAATATGTGCACAATAGCCTCCCGCCCCTGTACATGTGTGCATAACCCCCCCGCATGTGCCCTGCCTCCTGAGCATGCACACAAATCTTCCGCACGCATCCCGCCCCTTCCTGGGGGAAGGGGTATCTGCCTGGCAGATACCCGACAATCAGCTGACTGGTGGGAGGCACACACGCATGTGCAGTAGATTGGTTTTGGGTGACGATTCGTATGCTGGCAGAAATGGCTCTGCCTACTACTTCCAGCACATGTGCCATAGGTTCGCCATCACAGGTCTAGCCCCTTCCTAGGTTCAAACATTCCCAGTCTTTGCTTCAAGTCTAGATGAATTGTTTTGTGTAATCATGGATCTTCTTAATGTCTAGAAGATGAATGATATCTTAATATGTTATCTATTAGTATTTGTATACCATATTGTTTATTTCACTAATATTATTAACATTAATACATTTTAGCTAGGTTGAGGCATGAAACAATACCAAGACCAAAACATAGTGAACCTAAGAAGTAAAACCTCTGAATTACTAATAGTTATGAACTGTCGGACTCCTGGGAAGGTTAAATGCATTTGTATGGGCTAACTTGTGGCTTAATATTATACCTTTGATAAAATAATTAAATCTTTCATCTCTGAATGTTTTATATTTTAATATGAAATAGCTAGACAGTTAATGCAGGTATCTAACCCAACATCTAGAAAAGTTGGAGCAGTGGAAGGAGAATTAATAGCATCCATCTTTTTTCCCATTTTTTCACCTAAGTTTCTGCTTAATGGAGAAATGTTATTACTCAAAGGTATGCAGAGCAAATACACAAAGGTGTGTTTGCATATAGTGAAATAAAAAAGTCACCTGCAATAGCTAGAATTCAGCACTAGCTATTGGTTCCAGGAAGCAATGCTATTTTAGGTAAACAATCTTGTGATATTGCAATACAATCTTCATATATCGAGCAAAAAGCTTCCTTTAAGAACAGAATATTTGCATAATATCAAAGTATGTTTATATTAGTTTTTCATCAGTTCAGGGCATTTATAAACCTAACCTTGTGAAACTGATATCCCTCCTTTAGACCAGAAAAATCACCTGGATGTTTCAATCCTAAATTCGTTTACACAGTAGAATAATTTCTAATTCTCCTCCCAATCGTCCATTTCAGATAACAGATTCAATTATCTTTTATATCTTATGAATTCCAGCAAAAAGACTAGCGATTATGGTGCCCTTTCAATTATAAGCAGTTGCTCCCTGCTCCCAGCAGTCAACAAAATTTCACAGCCAAGTCCTGATCTTGATCCTGTCCTTAAAACTCAATGGGATTTCCAAGTTAGCACATTCTACTACTGGAACAAAGCACAAACACAGGGAGTTAATTAATCCCTTTACAAGTTTTAGAAAAGATTCCTGACCTTCTTACAAGCTTGATGAAACCAGAAAGAACCAACACCATGCATAGCAGGCACCGGCCTAGCCTTAAACAGAAGTCTAACTGTTGCTCTTCTCCATAACAGGATGCTCAGTTACCAGAAGGCAAACCTGGAAGGGGTTGTGGGAAAGGACATTAAATGCTCCGGTTCTTTCAGGCAGCCAACCCAGCTTCGTGTCCTTCTCCCGTTTAAGGACACCTACAGAATCTGCACCGAGTACTTTTTTTTCCTGAGCTTTTTTTTTGGGGGGGGGGCAGCAAGGGGGGAAGGGAAGAGGGGTGTTGTTATACAAATCGTGGCGTTGGTATAAGCCGGGCAATGGCTGTTCCAGAACATTTCTTCGACTTTTTTTGTGTTTGTTTGTTTGTTTGTGTATAAAATCACCCATCGCAACAACTTCCCCGAGCCGGGGATTTGTCCACCTCCGGCGGCAACCCAACCGGCCGTGGCCGTCCCCTCAAACTGGCCACTTCGAAAAGCGCGGCGAGGGATAGGCGACCAGCCCCACACACCCTGAGGTGCTGAACGGGAAGGACCTCGACCGTCGCCCCTTCCCCCTTTTCCCTTTGGTCGGGAGTTGCGTGAAGGTGTTTTTTTTTTCGGTGGGGGTGGTGGTGGTTTGTATCGTTCGGCGAAGGCTGTGGATGAAAGACAACAACCTCCCCTCCACCTGTTCGGGAAAGCCAGGGCTGGAGCTGGCCAAGGGGGCAAGAACCCTTCCGACCACCGCCGCGGCTGAAGCCTTGTCTCCCCTTCGCCATGCAACCTCCACCTTCACCAATGAGCCTCCCTTCTTCTCCTTGGCGCCAACCCGTGTCCCCAACCCCCCACTCCTCCTCTCCTCACCACGCAGCTCCCCAGCAGGCCAGGCTCGGGCTCCGTGGGCAGCTCGGAGAAAGGCCTCCTCCTCCTCCTCCTCTTCCTCCTCTGGTAGCCGGAGTCTCCCGCACACCCACCTCCAGCGGTCGAGAAAGCGGGCTTCGCTTTGCCGCAGGCGACGAGCTTCCAAAAGCCGAGCCGGACTCCAAGGCAATCCGGCGCGGGAGGGACTAAGCTGCGGCGGCGGCGGTGGCAAGAGCCAATTGCCTGGCGCTCTCGAGCTCGGCTCAGCCCGGGGCGTCCGCGCTCCTGCCCCAGTTGCGCCTCTGCGCCGCAGGGCAGCAGCGCCTCCCGACGGGCACGCGACCGGTTTGGTCGCCAGGTTGCAGCACCCGCCGCTTCCTCCTCCTCTTCCTCCCGATGCCAAGTCCCGAACCGGGCTTCCCCCTTTTTTTTTCCCCCTCCGGCCCTGTTATGGGGAGAAATCTCCTCCTCGGAGAAGCCAGAGCCGCTCGCCCGCTCGCCCGCCTGCCTCCTCGAAGCTCAGCGCAAAAAGCCTCGGAGGGGCCTCGTGCTCTTTTCCTCCTTCCAGCCCCCAAGCTGGGCTGGAGGAGGAGGGAAGAGGGGGAAGGGAAGGAAGCAAAAGCTAGAAGCCAGCGACCCAAAACTAAGCGGCCGTCTTAGGCCCTCCCGTGGCCCGGCAGCCGCACCGAGGCTCTTCCTCGTTTCTCGCCCCCGTCCCCCTCTTCACTTTCCTTAGCGTCGCCCTTCGGTTCTCCTGCTCTCTCGGCTCCCCGTCTTTCACGCGCCAGGGGTTTACCTGGGAGGTCCCACCGGGCTCTCTCCGACCGTGGCCTGTCAGTTTGATCCGGCTTCGGGTTGAGGAAATTGTTGGGTCCAACTTGATTTCTGCTCTCCGCGCAGTCTCGGAGGTGGACTCTGAGCTTCTCCGATGATTGCTTACTTGTAAAATCCACAATGGTATCTTGAAGGCAAGCAAATGTTGATGCCTCAACCTTTAGTCCATTTCTTCCAGTGTATCTTTTCCTACATCTCTCTCTCTCTCTCTCACACACACACACACCCACACACACACCCACACACACACCCACACACACACACACACCTGCTCTTTGAGCAGAATCAAATCTTGCAAATCTGAGATGAAGCAAATATTAAAGAGAATGCCCTTTTAGGAACACCAAAGATAACAATTGTGATCTTTTATGTGATCTACTTTATCTGCCACATTTTTTTTTCCAATGCTTTAATAATGGCTTGCTCAAGACCTAAACATCCTATGAACAATCTGGATTTTGGTACTGCAATGAAAGCCATAGCTATCATAAAAACGGTAATAAAAACACACCTCTAAAATCTAGCAAACAGGAAGGATAATGTACAAGGTTGGTCATATGGTTTGGTTAGCTTTTGCACCTGAACAGGTAAATCACAATCCATGACCTATATTGTCTTTAGATCACTTGGTCTATGTGGCAAAAATTTGGTGGCAAACTATTCTTTTGCTGCCAAAGGATGCAAAAGCCTTAAGGCACTGAAGTACTCCCACCCACACCCACCCCACAAAAGTAAAATGCTAAGAGATTGTGACTTGTACCTTGTTTTCCTTTTGCATAAACTATATGCTTTGAATTGTGAATATTCACTATTTAATCATTTTGAAAACAATTTTTATAAATATTCAGAAGTGATACCATCCAAATAGGTTGCATTAAAGTAAGAGATGCTTACAATGGTTATTCTGAATTTCAATTCCAAGCATCAATAAATGCATTTTAAAGCACTGTAGTAAGGCTTTGAGCAATTCCTCTCTCAATGTAATGATTTGGGTTGGGGCACACTATGAACCCTGCTAGGCCAGTTATAAGCCATGGTTTAAAATTCACCATAATGATTGCAGTATAGCATAATTCCAAAGTATTGTGTGAAATCCTAGTATCAGGTACACACACACACGGGGGAGGGGAGAGAGATATACAGATATATAGATATAAATATACAGTAGCTTCAGGAAAGTAGAAGAGGGACCTTTTAGTTTTAGTTTTGAAAACAGAACTGCTCCTATTGATCTTGCTTTGGAGTAAATTATTATAAAGCATAATTTTAACACAAAATACTAATTCAGCAATTTTATGCAGCATTTGCAGATCCTTACTGTATCAGAATAACAGAACCTAAGAGCTAAGAAGTAAGTAGTGATTTGTACTAAATAAGTATGCATGTTTGGATTTAAATGCCATATATGCTCCTTGAGGTAACTCTTGAAGCAAGCTTGCATTCACATTGATTCCACAAGGATATTTGTTGTTTAGTAATTATTTCTAGTGATCAGACTCTAGTAATTCTATTAAGCTTTACTCAATAGGTTTGTGCTTCTTATCATAATTGGACTTTGTTTTTGCTGTCATAGAGCTGAGGAAAAGCAATTAAAGATAAGTACAAGGGGAAGTTCTAAATAGAATAGAAATTGTTCTTTTTAGCTTAGCTTCTTTTATCCCCTTTGACCCCAAGAGGCTCCTTGCCTTACATATATGGATTTTTATAAATTAATATATGGGTGTTTTAGAGAAATACACAGTTGTAGAAGATAATTTCTCTTTTTGACACAGTTCTATATGCTTCCATCAATAGCCATTTGTTACATTAGTTGTTAGGAAGACAACCTTTTTTTTTTTTTGAAAGACTCAGACAAATGCCTTGCATCTTGCCAACATTTCCTTTAGTTCAGTTGATTACAAAGGGCACTTCAAAATACAGCCTATAAAACTGGCACTTTGATCTATAACACTCTTTGAGGTACAATCACTTATTTTGATGAAAGAAAGCTTTGGGAAGAAACAATTTGTGGATTGAATCTAAAACACTGTTTGCAATGTTTTTGTTTATTCATCAAAGCAGTTCCTTTCATTAGACTTTCAACTGGAAAGTTTTTGATGTCACTAAGACATACAGCAGATAGGAGAGCAGTGACCATTTATATTTCTGTAAAAAAAATGTCTTAGAATGGGTGTGCTAAAAAATTAATGTAGTAACAATATTCTTCATAAACTTCCTTTTTGGTTGGAAATGTTTTGTTAATTTGGTTAACCATATGAGGTTAATATAGTAGGCCAGGAAAAAAAAATTGTAACAGATTTTCCTTATAATATTAGAACACATTAGCGCAGGGGTGTCAAAACTCATGTTGTCACAGCAGCATCCTGTGACGTGTCACAACTTTTCCCCCCTTCGCTAAACTGGGTGTGGGTGGGGCCAGCGCGTGACGCATCCAGCCCATGAGTTTGACAGCCCTGCATTAGCATCTTGCTTAATCTATGCTCCACCTGTGGTCCCCACATGTCTTGACGGTATCAGATTAAGAAAGCAAAAGCTGCCCCAAAAAGCTCCAATACAGTCCTAGGCTGCATTCACAGAGGAGTGGATCAAGATCAGATAAAATGTTAGTACTGCTTTATAATGCCTTAGTAAGACCACATTTGGAAAATTGCATCCAGTTTTGGTCACAATATATAAAATAAATATAAAAAAGATATTGAGACTCTAGAAAGAGTGCAGAGAAGGGCAACGAAGATTGGTGGCTAAAACATGAAGAAGGGTTGAAGGAATTGGGTAGTCTGGTTTAATGAAAAGAGGTATTAGGAGTGACATAATAGCAGTCTTCCAATATCTAAGGGGCTTTCACAAAGAAGGAGTCAACTTAGTCTCCAAGTACCTGAAGGCAGGACAAGAAGCAATTGATGGGGACTAATCAAGGAGAGAACCAACCAAGAACCAAGGAGAAATTTCCTGACAGTGAAGACAATCAGTGGTAAAACTTGCCTCCAGAAGTTGTGGGTGGTTCCATCACTGGAAATTTTTAGGAGGAGATTGGACAACCATTTGTCTGAAGTGGTATAGAGTTTTTCCTGCTTGAGCAGGGGTTGGACTAGAAGATCTCCAAGGTCCCTTCCAACTTTGTTTTTTAATGTAGAACAGGGGTGTGCAACCTTTGGCCTGCCAGGAATGCATTGAGTGAAGAGAAATTGTTTTAGGCCACATATAAAATATATAATATAATTAATCTATATGAAAATCACATAATACTATTAAAAGTTTGTCATCTTGTGGGATCATATTACAAGCTGTCCAGGGCTGCAAATGGCCCTGAAAATGCCAGGTGTTGAAGGTAGATGAAAAAGCATAATGCAGAGCTTGCCCAATATTCATATTCTACTTCTGGGCCTAATATTAACCAAACATTCACTGTTTAACTTAACCATTAATTTAGAGGTTAGTATGTTATATAAAGGTGGAAAATTGGATTAATTGAGTGAGCCACTGTTTGGTTAAATATAGGTGAGTGTAATTTTTCAGCATGGCCCCAGTGTGGAGCCAAATAGTATTTCTAGTGAACATTTTAATGGTCCTATCAATGTGACTTAAGTATGGCACAATTTTTTTCATATCTTCTGCTTTTAAGTCAATATTAAATATTGCTTGCCATAGTAACAACTGGATAATATTTGTACTAAATTCATTTTACTAATGAGTGCAATTAATTTCCCAATAGCATGAAGACATAAATATAATATGGAACATATATTACAGAAACTATATACTTCTAACATGAAGGATGGTATAGCTGAATGATATGTTCCAAATTCGTTATAATTTTATCTTTAGCTAAGGATTATAGGCAATAATATCTGGAGGACATTCTAAAATTTACCTAGAGAGCACCATTCCAGAAACATCTGAGCCGCCCAAAGTCACAAAGTGAAACACCAAGTGTCCATTAACTAAGACAGATGGAATTAAAATTTAATTTAAACCATGGACCTTGCGATGCATATGTAAGTATTCCAAATGCTTATGGTCAATTCATGTCTTTGTGGGGCATTCTACATGTTTAATAAGTTGCTACTAAACGTGAAATACTTTCTTGATGGCTAAGAGCATTTTGCTACAAACATCACAATTTCTTGCAAGTGAAAGGAGCGCCATGAAAAGTAAAGAGCTGGAGAGGAGGCTTCCCTCAAGCTGTGGAGTAGATTGTAAAACCACAGCTCTCATGATAAAATCTGTATGCAATGGGGCAAAAGGATCTAGATGACAGAAGAGGAGCTGAAATAAATGCCTGTTAGAGAAGGCTTTTTAGCGCTGGAATCCCACTTAAAAGAAACAGTTTTTCTCATATTTGTTATCTCTTGCATTCCTGATACCAAGATCAAACAGGTTTGACCATAATCACATAAACCAAGTCTTTCTCCAATCTCTATTTTATATCCAAAAAATTTTGACATATGCCCTGTCCTGTGAAACCCTGTGGGTCAGAAGTCTTTCCTTTAAACTGATTAAATCCAGTCTCAGCAAATGCAGAAATCATCCTTTTCACAAAACTCAGAAGCTGGAGATCAAGTTTACTGGATCTTCCCTGTAATTGCACAGATCATCTTGTTGCCTTTTATCTGCAGCTCCTAGCCACCCTGCAAATACATCTAATTTTCTACAATTGTCTCCTGAAATGGTCGTCTTTGAGCACGTCTAGTCTCATCACTCCCACATCTCACTTAGAAAGAATGAGGAAGAAGCTGAAACATAATTTAGACTCTTAGGTCGGGGAACAATCTGAAATATTTATTTATTGGAAGGGATGCCCGAACATTGCCTTTTCTTGGGAGGTGGCAGGTAACATTGATGTGCCTCCTTTAGTTGGGTAGCCCCAGCGGCAATACAGTAACAGAAGCCTAAATTTGCCATGCAACAACCGGGCCTTGGCACTTGAAGCGGACATGAGAAATGGAAAACACCCACACTCTTTATACTCTATATAAATGACCTTTGCAATGATCTTATAAGCAACTGCGTCCTCTTCATGGATGACGTAAAACTATTCAACACCACCAACAATGCTACTGCTCTTCAAAGTGACCTTGATTATGTGTCTGAATGGTCAACAATTGGCAACTCCAAACCTTGACCAACAAATGTTCTGTCCTACATATTGGTAAAAAAAATCAGTACACCAAATGCAAGCTAGGCAGATATGACCTCGTTGACAGTCCTCACTCTGTCAAGGACCTTGGAGTACTCAAATCAAAAGCGCCAGAGCTCACTGTAACAGCATTGCCAAAAAGGCATTAAGAGTTGTAAATCTACTCTTATGAAGCTTCTCCTCTGGTAATATTGAATTGCTAACTAGGGCATACAAAACCTTTGCTAGACCAATACTCGAATACAGCTCATCTGTCTGGAATCTGCACTGTATATCAGACATTAATACAATTGAGCAAGTCCAGAAGTACTTCACGAGAAGAGTACTACACTCTTCTGCTCACAACAGAATACCCTGTATCACCAGGCTTAAAATTTTGGGCTTGGACAACCTTGAACTACGCCGCCTACAGTTGGACTTAGGTGTAGTACACAAAATTATCTGCTACAATGCCCTACCAGTCAGTGACTACTTCATGTTCAACTGCAACAATACAAGAGCACACAACAGATACAAACTCAATGTAAACCACTCCAAATTGCTGAAGTCATACTTTGCAGAAAGTATGACTTCAGCAATAGAATGGTCAATGCTTGGAACACACTACCTGACTCTGTTGTTACATCCTCTAACCCGCACTTCTTTAACCTCAAACTATCCACTATTGACCTCACCCCATTCCTAGGAGGTCTGTAAGGGGCGTACATAAGTGCACCATCGTGCCTCCCGTCCCTGTCCTATTGTCCCCATTTATTCGAACCTATTTCCTGCATTCTTACTCATGTTTATACTTATACCTATTATCTTGTAAGTGATTGACAAATCAAATCAAATAAATAAAAAATAAATAAGGAGAATTTGGTGATGGGGAAACATCTTTTATTTATTTATTTATTTATTTATTTTATTTGGTTTGTCAATTGCTTTCAAGATAATAGGTATCAGTAAAAACATAGTTATGGATACATGGATACATATAAGAAAGATAAAAGAAACAATAGGACAGGGACAGTAGGCACGTTGGTGCGCAAGATGTAGAAGAGAGGGAAAGATCTCCCTCTCTCTCTACAGGGTCAAAAGGAGAAATAAGGGAATCTGAAACTTCAGAGATCTTGCAAACTTCAGATCAAGAAGTGATGGAAATCCATCCTCCTTCCTACGGTGGAGCAGAGGGGGAGAACCTGCCAACTCTATCTGACAAAGAAATGGAAATGAAGAGGAACTTGCCTTCAGGCTCCTCAGAACCAGGAGAAGGAAGAAGAAAAGGGGGGGCGGGGGGGAAGGGAAATGTCCAGTTTGGGCAGAAGCAGTTAAAATTAGAGATGAATATGTTGTAAAAACTGAAATTGGCAAGGCAGCCAACAGTGACTTCCAGGCTAATGCCACATGCCTCTGTAACACCACAATGTGATGGAATGTGCACCTGCAGCAGCAGAGGGCGTGGAACTTGCCAACTCAAAGCTTTACCGGAAGAAAAGAGATCCGGATCAAGAGACTGCACGTTCCCGTGCTGGATGGGCGAGGGAGGGGGAAGAGAATCAAGGAAACCCCACCCTAGAATTCGTTAGAATATAGTTAGTAGGTTAGAAAGTTATAGTTTTAGTTTGGGAAGATTCTATCTACCGGTATCAGGTATAAGCAAATACAGGTGTGTCTCATCTCTGGGCTGGGCCTGACACTCCTACAGTAGCTACACTGGATTCCACTAGACTTCTGGATGCAATTCAAACAGCAGGTGCTCACCTTTAAAGCCCTACATCGCATGAGGCCAAATTACTTCTTGAATCATCTGTTCCTGATGGCTTCTACTTGTCCCATTTGATCAGGCAAAGATGCGCTTGTCCCCTTGGCGAAATAGTGTCACTTGGCTTCAGACCTTTGGCTTCTCTGTTATGGTGCTTGCCTCTTGGAACAGCTTTTACCAGGAGGCATGAATGTCCTTGATTATTCTGGCTTTAAGGAAAGCAGTGAAGGCGTGGTTTTTCTTTCAGGCACTGGACGGAGTTCACGTGGTGTGACAGGTTTATGAATGAGAGTTTTATCAGGGTTTCAATATTGTTTTTCATTTTAAATGTTTTTTTAAAGTAATTATATTTTTATTTTTGTCTGTCACCCATAGCATTTTCTGATAGAGGGGTGGCCATATAAATTTGTTTTTAAAAATAAGAATGTGGAGGGGGGGAACCTAGAGTTTATGATCTGGAGCAGCCCTATAGAAAAGCTTTAACTTTACATCACTGCAGATGGAAAATAATTTACATATAAGGCTTTATTTTTCTTGAAATGAAAAGCCCAGTTTTTTTAAATGTGTTTGAAAATCTTCTGCCAGCTAAGCAAATACTTGAAAATGGTACTAAATGTTTGGAAATTCTATCCAGACAGATTGCTGAGTTTTGGTGTGAAATCTGACTGAATCAAACTGCTCAACCTTGATCTAGAGAGCAACTGTCTGTTCAGGAGTATGAATTGGGAGAATAGGATAGAATAGGATAGGAAAGGATAGGGTAGGGTAGGGTAGGATAGGATAACAGAGATAATAACAAAAGACCTTGTAGGTCTTTTTGTCCAACTCAGTTCAGGCAGGAAACCCTATATAATTTCAGACAAACCATTGTCCAATTTCTTCTTAAAAACTTTCTATGTTGGAGAATTCACAATTTCTGGAGGCAAGTTGTTCCATTTCTAACTGTCAGGAAATTTCTCCTTAGTTCTAGGTTGCTTCTCTCCTTGATTAGCTTCCACCCATTGCTTCTTGCCCTGCCCTCAGGGGCTTTGGAGAATAGCTTGACTCCCTCTTCTTTGTGGCAACTCTGAGATAACAGAACACTGCTATCATGTCACCCCTAGTCCTTCTTTTCATTAAACTAGACTACCCAATTCCTGAAGAGTTATTACCATTTGGGGGCAGGGGAGGGAAATGCTATTTATCACCAATGCTGAAATAAAGTTCAGGTAGCAATCCAACTGGTTTCTGTAATTCCCTTTTTGGGACACTGTTGCCAGTAAGTTTTCCCTGCCTCTGCCTGAGGGGGGCCGTTTTTGCATGTTACATTAAACCACACTGGCAAGATATGGCAAGTTTAATGTTGTGCAAAGTCAGCCCTTGGGAGTTTAATGCTGAATGAATTCAGAAAATCAATTTAGGAAAGCCAATTATGGTTGTTTAATTTAAGTGTTTTGGCTGAATAAAGTCAGTATATAAATGAGTTAGGAATCCAAAAGTATATAACAAAAGATGATTACTGGGACAATGAACAATTTCTTCTCTAAATCTAGGCCTGGTTTACAAAGCCATAATTTGTTCAACTATAGCTTATTGAAGGAATTAAACCGAGTAAATTTATATAATGCACTCAATACACTAGAACAGGGGTGTCAAACTCAGGGCCCGCAGCCCTGGGGTGCTTAGGTCTGGCCACAGCGCTGCTCTGGAAACAGCAAAGGACCAGCCTGCCAGTGAAAACGGAGCTTGAGGATGCTGCGTGCAGCCCGCCTGGGCTCCAGTTTCAGCCTCAAAGGCCTCCTGCAGCCCTCTGCCAGTGAAAATGGACCCTGGTCACGGCCTCCCTGGGCTCTGCTTCCCCTGACAGAGGGCTGCAGGAGACTGTTGCAACTGAAAACAGCCTCAATGAGTGACATTGAGCTGGCCACGCCCACCCCGGCAACGCTCCCTCAGCCCCCCAGGTCAAACAAAGCCGTCAATGCAGAGGTGGTATTCAGCAGGTTCTGACCAGTTCTGGAGAACTGGTAGTGGAAATTTTGAGTAGTTCAGAGAACTGGCAAATACCACCTCTGACTGGAGATTTTACAGTATCCTTCCATTGCCACACTCACCAAGCCACGCTCACAGAACTGGTAGTAAAAAAAAATGAATCCCACCATTGCCCCAATGAAATTAAGTTTGACATCTCTGTACTAGAGTTTATAAAAGTACATGGACTTGATTCACATACTGCTTGCTTAATGAAACAACACCACATTGTATAATATCTGCATCTTTATATTGCGCCTATTCAGTATTCATGCCTATTTGACCCTGAGTCATTTTTTAAAAAGTCTGTTTGGACTGAGACATTTTGGCCACTGTTTGCAAGAGATTCAGTTTGACCTGCCACCCTCCTGTCCTTGGGCCTTCCCATCTCTCTCTTCGAGAAAAGTAACCTGCAACTGATTAATGTGGCCTTACAAGTCAGTATTCATCTTATGACCACAACCGGGACTGTCATTTCCATTGCTAGGCAAGATGATTGAGTGAGTCACAATTGATTTTAGGATATTTTTTCCATGGTTGTTAAGCAAATCATTGCAATTGTTGAGTGAATCATGCAGTTGTTAAACAAATCTGGATAACAACAGTAGCTTATTTTGAGTCATGAATCACATTTTCAGTGCTATTGTAATTTTGAACAGTTGTTCGTTTGTAGTTGTAAATATATCTTTATTTGTGCCTAGTACTCTCTCTCTCTCTCTCTCTCTCACACACACACACACACACGTATACAAACCAATGGTGGGATTCAATTTTTTTTACTACTGGTTCTGTGGATGTGGCTTGGTGGGCGTGGCAGGGGAAGGATACTGTAAAACCTCCAGTCAGAGGTGGTATTTACTGGTTCTTCGAACTACTCAAAATTTCCACTACCGGTTCTCCAGAACTGGTCAGAACCTGCTGAATACCATCTCTGATACGAACACACAGACATATGCATGTAGAGATATAAGGTTGTAACAAAAGTCATGTCCAAAAATCATATATAAATTACATCATTGAATTAGTTGCCATTTTCTTCTAAACATTCATTTGATTATGACTTTTAAGTATTCTGAAATACAACAATATTTTCCTCTGAAAAAATTAATTAACATATTGCAATTGGCCTATGGGGTATGGATTTTGGTACAGCACATTCATTATATACACACATTTAGAAATGCATATAAAGTTTAATTTATATAGACCAAACAAAAACATCAGGCACAAAAATTCCTTCATTACCAGCTGGTCTCTAATGTATCTAGGCCTACCATTTCTTGGGATGCTATGCAGTAGTAGAAACACTTAGTTTAAAAATAAAAAAGTGTTTGCTCAGTTTTGAATTTTTGAGTTGATCTTTAAATTACTATATTTCTTTGCCTGACCTATTTCTCTTACCATCAGCTTTGGTTTTGTAGTGGTTTTGCTTTGTAAATTCAAGCTTGTTGGTGTGTAGGTCAGAGAAAGAAAGGAAGAATTAAAAAAAAATTCTCCTGGATTTCAAATGTGTATTTACAATGTGTTATAATTTTTATTTACAATGTATGCGTTATAATTATTCCTGACTCACTGAGAGTGAACTGGGTGGCCATATAAATGCTCTTAAATAAATAAATATTACCCTATTATAGCATTTCTGATCAAAAATAATTTTAGAAGATATTGGAGACTATAGTAACCAGTGACTTGGTTGAGATGACACCGAAGGGATGTGATCTCTGAACTGTCCAAATAATTCCTGGAATTCACTTATACATGAAGAAATGCTCCTGTTTTCTTGGCAGAATCTTTCAGAAGTGGTTTGTTATTGCCTTCTTCTTAGGGCTGAGAGAATAACTGGCTCAAAGACACCCAACTGGCTTTATGACTAAGATAGGACTAAAACCCAAGTCTTCTGGTTTCTAGCCTGGTGCCTTAACCATTTCTGTATACCAAATTGGCTTTTAGCCATGAAAAGGGTGAGAGACAATAAAAAAAAATATCCGTTCTGGATACCAGTGAGTAGCTATGTACACAACTATTGAGGAGACATCATTGGTTCCAACTACAGCTTGCTTAATTATTGCAAACCATTTCAGATACTCCTCAACTCAAAGCAAGGCAGTTGTTAAATGAATTTTGCTTCATTTTATGTCCTTTTTTACCACAGTTGTTCAGCCAATCACAGCAATTATTAAAGCGAAGTTGGCTTCCCCCACTGACTTTGCTTGTTGAAAGTGGTGATCACATGATCCTAGGTAAGAGCGACTGTCACAAATACATGCCAGTTTCCAAGTGCCCAAATTTTGATCAGGTGACCATGGGGATGCAGCAATATTTGTAAGTGTGAAAAATTGTGTAAGTCCCTTTTTTCAGTGCCATTGTCAGTGCACATGGTCACTAAATGAATGATTGTAAGTCAAGGACTACCTGTATTCCATGAACTGAAGAAAGCTCAGACTGGTCATGATTTATGAAGCTAAGCTTCTTCTCATGTCCAGGATATTTCTATGATTGTCTTGGTGGAAGAAGAATGGAAGAAAAATGGAACTTCATCTTTAGCACATTCCGAACAACTTCACCGGCCTCTGGATCTGCAGGAGAAAATTCACAAAATACCTTACATGCAATATATTCATGTCTGACAGAAAATCCCGTCTGTTTTCCTATTAGCTGAATTTTTCTTTCTCCTATTTGATTATACATTAGACATATTTTTGTTGAATAACCATCTCCTTCTTCCAGAAATCCAGTTGACTAGAGATGCCATTTCCACAAAATAAAAATAAATAAATCCAGGCCTGTCATTATCTTCTGTCATGTAGTAAATTCAATTATCTCTTTTGTTGTCCCCAACAAGTCTAAGCCAGATTTCTTTGCAGAAAAAGAAGGCTCTTCCTATCACAATGGGACTCTTAAAAAAATACAAAATTTCTAGATTCTTGCTATGAATACATGTCTAGGAAGCTTTTTTAAAATTTTCTTTCAGCGTTATATTCCTATCTAATGTCTAACTCTTAGTTCTAGCTCCAAAGAGCTGTCCCATTTATCATGTTCACCTTGATACAGAGCATAATGACTACATTTTCTCCTTAGAGTCATATTCTAGGTTAATATTTAATGTATGCTATTGCTGCCTTTTTGAGTTTCTAAAGGCCAATGGCCTTTAGAGCAGAATTATGCTTGACTAATATGCCTTTTTATTTTTATTTATTCATTTACTGGAGAAGGCAAATTGGAGAGAATCTGTATTCTCTGGAAAAGACCCAAAATGGTAAAATGTGTAAGTAGGTGAATCTGTATATTTGGAAGGAAAGCCTTAAATATGATAAGTGATACCGTAACACAATAATGTTATTCATGATAACAAGGAAAAGACAAGTATGTTTTGCTTTTGAGGCCAAATTAGTGGGGTTCCTTCCCCACCCCCCTATCCCCAATGTGTTATGCTTCTTCTTGTATAATAGACGGTGGGACATTCATTTAGTTATGTTAGGTTGCACTTGAATCTACTTAACTTTAGGTTTATTTCCTCCCAGAAACATGCTTGTGTTTAAACTGTTGTTTAATATCAGGTGATCCTTTTCCCAGGATTTCCCAGGGTTTTATCATTTTTTGACAACTGCCTTTTGTTGCTTGTCTTCTGAGATTGTTTCAATAGTTCAAAAGTTTGTGTCTATTTCATGTTACAAGTGTTGTTTTTAACTTTTGTGAATTGAAAGATAACTGCTTATAAAGCTGAATAGAACTTAAATATTGTCACTGCAACTATATTAGGCCCATGTAATCAATGTATTGGTAGAAGTGGAGAGTATAGTATTGGCAGCAACAACGAATTGTTGCAGTGCATATAATTATTTTGCTTGGTGACACTGAAACGCAGTAATGGCATTTGCTTCTAAAATAGTAGTAAAATTAACCTAGTAGGTCTCCCTTACAAAGAATTTATTTACAAAGAAATGATGGAATCCATGATTTGTTTAAAAAATGAATTTAGTCATAGAAGAGAATCCTGGATTCATTTTTTAACATATTAATTAATTAATTAATTAAAACTTGAGGAAAGCAAGTAATTGTGTGTGTGTATGTGTGTAATTATACATTTTAATATATATGACATTAGAATGAAATGTATTATCAAATAGACAGAAGAACAGTATCTTTCTTTCAGATATGATGATTCTATTCCTCATCTATCCCAAGCATTGACCTAAAAATACAGGTGGTTAAGGAAATCAGGACAGGTGAGATTAACCTATCAAAAAAGAAAAAGACAGAGTTACAATGAGAAAAAGCTAGAAGGCCGGATGGATTTGCTTTCACCATCTGTTTGAGAATTTCACCCACACAGCTTACAAATTCTGAATTCTCCTGATTTGAGTAGGAGTGACCTGCTTCATCGGGCTCTTCTCTGTAACCTGAAGGATGAACTACATTATTTCCAAAAGCTTTTATCAACTCTTTTATTAGAAATCTGAATTTGGGACTTCAGAACCAAAAGCTGTGCAGGAATAGGAAGAAAACTGAAGGGAGAAGGTAAGAAATATATATATATATATATATATTTATTTATCATCCTTATTGTGCAGAATATGAGATAAATACGGTAACAGACATAATTACTGCCATGTGCATGTTTACATTTCAAACATACAATTAAAGAGTTCAAGTTATGTTTGGAGCACAGCCACACCTGTACATCCTGTGACAATGCATATTCATCTCTATTATCTTTACAAATTAAGTTCTCTGTATGTTGGCCATGCCGTGTTTAATGTTTTATTTATGTGCTTCTTTAGCAGAAAGAAATTTGCAGACTATTAGGAGCAAAAAAAACCTCATTCCACATTTCATGCAAAGCAAACTTCATATTAAGATTACAGTAAATGATGTATTTGTAAATATTTGGCACATTCCCATAATTGAAAACATAAGATGTGCATAACTCTAGAAAATGTAGGGTGTACAATATTCCAATCGATTGTAGCTGCTAGGGCTGTGCAACGTTGCCGGTTTGATCACTAAAAGGAGCCTCTTCAAAATCTTTGGGTGCCCAACCTAGCAAATATATAAAATCTGGGTCCCATGAAAATAGAAATAAAAGTCTGTTGGCTTTGAAAGGCAGACATTGGTAGTCATTCTATAATTATCTTTAATTATAGATTTTAACAATACACAACACTGCAATCATGCTATTGACTATTTATACTGCTCTAATTGTAAAATAATATACGAGAGGTAATGGGCTCTAAGAGTCATCTACACAGGTCAAAAGAGTCCAAATGGTAGCCACAACCACAGGCTTGAAGCCCTCCCCCCCACTTTTAAAGTGTGTTGTTTGCTTCTGACATGCCCTCAGGACTAACATCTCAACTTCTTCTTTGATTGTCTGCTAGAGTCATTCCTGGGCTGAAATAGAATTGCTGCTATGAAAGCAGCTTCCCCTTTATTCAAATGAACAGCTCTATCCAAAACACAAGGAAGAGAAAGAAAGCTAAGTAGAAAGCTAAAATATTATTTTTATGTTGGCTCCTAAGCTCAAGCCTTGGGTAAATCTCTTCTAGGAAACACACAGCTGCTTTGCTTACTTCCCTTTCCTCCATAGATTTGAATGGAGACCAACTTTCACTTTACCATATAATCTTTCCAAATTCAGGGAGGGAAACTGTGTACCAGCTGCAAAACATCTGTGCACCATCACCAGTACACTTGCAGAAAGGATGCCTCCCATATATTGACTGCATCTCCAATAGCTTGTTATCTTCATAATCAAGATTATGAAGCAAATGGGAAAAGCAAATGAGGAGAAATCTTCACAAAAGCTCTTGACTTATGAACAATCATTTAGCAACCATTCACAGTTACAACAGGCCTCCTCCCAGGGCTTCTTACAACCCAGTTTCCAAGTTGTGACAGTTCACAACTTGTAGATATTTATCATGATTGGAATGCCCCGGGCTCAAGTTGTCACCTTTTGACAAGCAAAGTTAATGAGGAAGCCAGATTTCACTTATCAACCAAATTGCTAAGTTAACAATTGCATTGCTTCACTTTAGCACTGTGGCCAAAAAGGTTATAAGATGGGGCAAAGCCCATTTAACAATGGTCTTACTCAGCAACAGAAATTTTGGGCTCAGTTGTGTTCTTAAATCAAGGACTGCCTGTATGGTACAGATGCTTTCTACTTCCAAAGCTGAGCAATGAGTGACAAGAAATTCTGTACCCCATTAAGGCTGAGAGAGTATAAAGTCGACTCCTGTGCGAGCTACATACATAGCCAGTTGGATGGGTAGATTTTGCAGTCACTGATCTTTGTCCTGTGGGCTTCCCAACTGTAATAAAACCAATTTTAGCTCTCAGAACTTTGTCTATGTCTTATGCGGCCAGCTGTTGAGTTTTCAGAGAGAGTTTTAGTGCTGTCCCTGGGTTGCTCCCTGATAACAAAAATCACATGTATGAAAGCTGGCTGATAACCAAAGAGTTATGAGTGGGGATTATCCTGCTAAACCATTCTGCTGCAAAGCTTTCTTAACAGCTGTGAGGAATCATTATCCAAGGGTTCAGGCACAAGTTTGGAGGAAAACTCCTACTTTCATTATTGCACAACTCCAGAAATGAAGGAAGTTTGGAAGAGTACACTGAGTAAAAAAACAAAAACAAAGCAAACCTACATAGCTGTCTTTATTCTAATGTGTCTATTAAGAAAACAGGGATTTATTTCCTCAGGAGATATTCTCTCACCAAGACAGATCATTGTCTTTCATTCCTCAGGAGATATTCTCTCACCAAGACAGACCCTTAAAGACCACAAATCACATGGGAGCCCCTGAAAACAATTAGCCCTCCATCCATTTCTCCTTAATGTTTAGACATGGAAATGCAGGCGAAGCCATTTACATCCCTTGTACATCCATCCTTCATATCTCTGCAACACTAGGAACCAGAATTAATCTCCACATTGACGTATTTGGCACAATGTTCCAGAGTCTTTTTGTGCCTTTTGTTTCAGACATGCCAGAATGAAAAAAAAGAAAGAAAAGCATTTCTATAAATCAGTGCTTCTCAACTTTGAGAAACTTTCAGATGCGTGGACTTCAACTCCTAGAATTCTCCAGCTTACAGGCTCACTAGAGAATTCTGGGAGTTGAAGTCCACACATCTGAAAGTTGCCAAGGGTGAGAAATACTGCTATAAGTAATACATTTTAGCATAATCAGCTGGATTCTATAGCTTCCCGCCCCCCTTACTTTCAGTTTCCAAATTACACTGGTATTTAAAACTTATCTGTTGCCCTATGGGCTTGATTGAAGCACATTTTAAGGCAAGAGTCCAATCCCAGTGATTTGGGTAGCCCGGTGTGATCAGCTTGCAAATGCAACTTACAAAACTTGAAATGCTTAAAAGATTGTCAACAGATTCCTGGTGCTTAGCAATACAAAGGGAATTGTGGATATCCTAATTAACATCACTATTCCAGGCATGACTAAGCCTTGGTAATGGGATAAAATAATCTCTCCGTAGTGAGCAATCACATTCAGAACATCAGTGCGTGCCATAACTCTTTACAGTCAACATGACTGCTAAATAATTAATACAGCCCTGCCCACAAAATGTCTACAGCTCAGAGGCAAACATAATAATAACAATAAAAAAAAATACAAAAAAGAAAAACAAGGTTGACCTCAAATGAATCAGAAGGGAAGACATTTCCTGGCAGCAACAGATGTTCGTAGAAAAAGGAAAAGTGCTGCTATCTCTCAGATGGAACAGTTTGGGGAAGGTTCCCCATTTTGAAGCCTGTTCACACTTGGCAACTGAAGAAGCTCCTGTGACAGCTTGATTCTAAGCTGCTTGCTCAGGTCTGGGAGTGGGATACTTTGGCAACCTCTGGCAAGGTATTACATCTACACAGCAGGCTGCCATATTCTCCTGTTGGACAATTCCTCTATTCTTGTGTCCTTCCACCAGGAAAACAAATATTAATTGCTTCCCTTCCAGTGGAAGGATCTTCCTGGAAATATATTTTACATAAGTATAAAATCCATCTATATTACAATAAATGTGTGTGTGTGTGTGTGTGTGTGTATTTAAAGGACAAAAACACACATATATGCAGGGATATACAACATCTGCATTTAAAATAAACATTTTATTGTCAGCCTTTTTGTACTCTGATAATTTCTAAATCTTTTCTTTAGTGTGAATGCTAAAATAGCACAATGACTAAGAGTTTTATCCTATAGCTATGAACTGGCTGGTTCATAAACAGGAAAAACATTTTTTCTAAATTATTATTTTTCAACCTAGTTTTCCTTGCATTTATTTTTTTCCAAAAAAAAGTCCCCAATTAGCTATGGAAAGATTGCTAGATAAAAGAAACAATAATTTAAAAATATTTTGTAGGAAGAAAAGTACAGTAGTAAAAAAAAAGCAGGAAATATCTGGCAGGACCTGGTTGAACTAATAAACTTTATTTATAGTTCATGAAGCTTGTGGCTTTTAATAAAACTTGTTACTCTGAAAAGATACTACAGATAGTTCTCAACTTAAAAACTTTAGTTTAGTGATCGAAGTTTACAATGGTACTGAAAAATGTGATTTATGACTGGTTTTTTTACACTTTTGACCTTTGCCTCATCTCCAGGTTCACGTGATCAAAATTCAGGGTTTTGCCAAATGGCATGTATTTGTATGACAGTCTCAATGTCCCAAAGTTATGTAATCACCTTTTGTGACTTTCCAGCAAGCAAAGTCAATGGGGAAACTAGATTTACTTAACAACCGAGTTACTCACTTAACAACTGCAGGGATTCACCTAACAACTATAGGAAGAAAGGGGCAAAATTCACTTAACAAATCTCTTGCTTAACAACGACTACCTGCACCCAGATTTCTCTTCATTTAAATTGTACATATGTGAGAAGGAAAATATAGGCAGGGCATTAAATCAGCAACCTTTTACAAAGCATGTTTTTTTTATACTGATTATTAAAGGGAAATATTAGACATTCTTTCTGGATTGTGGAAGTATTCCTCCCTCTCTTAAGTACAGGTGGTCTTTGACTTATAGCAGTTCATTTAGTGATTGTTCAAAGTTAAAATTGCACTGAAAAAGGTGACTTATGCCCATTTTTCACACTTATGGCTGTGGCAGCGTTTCCATGATCATGTGATTAAAATTAAGGCAACTGATGCTACTTATGATGGCTGCAGTGTCCTACTTATGACGGTTGCAGTGTCTCGGGGTCATGTGATCATCTTTTGTGGCTTGACAAGCAAAGTCAATGAGAAAGCCAGATTCACTTAACAAGCTTGTTACTAATTGAACAACTGCGGTGGCAAGAAAGGTTGTGAACTAATTTGCTAAAAACTAATAATAACAGATAATCAGAGTTGGAAGAGACCTTGTAGGTCATCTAGTCCAACCCCCTGCCCAAGCAGGAGGCCCTACACCATTTCTGACAGATGGGAGAGTCCAATCTCGCTTAAAAACAGAACTTCTGGGCTCAGTTATGGTCGTAAATCAAGGGCTACTGGCTGTAACGAACTCCTGGAATAGGTCGCAAAGAAGTGAAGCCTTCTTGCTGAAATAGAGAAGAGCATTTGAAACAACTTAAGCGAGAAAGCCGACTTTCAAACAACAGTGGGGAAATGCACTGGGGATATAAATCTGTGAAGGAAGGGACATGAGTAAAAACTGATTTCATCTGTTTTTGCTCTGCAGAAATTATTGGTGTCCCATCCTAAGGCTGAGACAATTACGCAGTGAAGATAATCCCTTAAGACTGCACACCTTAGAAGCGTTCAAATTCACAGACTGCCAAATCCTAGGGTGTTTTGCTTGTCCGTGGCTTGTCAGTGGCTCAAATGGACATCGTATCATCCCTAGCCAGCCTTTTCCACCAAATCTAGAAGAGGGACAGCAAGATTTCAGCTGTAGTCCTAAAAGTGTTTTTTTTTTTCAAGAGGCAATTGGAAGACGTTTCGCTTCTCATCTGAGACGCTTCTTCAGCTTCTTGTGAAATGTCTTCTTTACATCACAGAGCAAGGACATCAAATCTTGGCAACTTTGACTGTTGGGGACTTCAACTCCCAGAATTCCCCAGCCAGCATAGCTTAGCTTAGGCCAGGGTTTGAACACTCCTGGCCTAAGCCAAGTGAAACATACTCCTCTTGCTTTCTCACCCCCTTGTCCACAATATCACAAATCTTTTCTGCCCCCATCCCAATATTTAAGTAACAACATGTTGGACTGAAACTATGAAGTAGCATTGAATGGTACTTTGCCTCTGGGAAGCTGAGCCTTCAGGTTTTCCTTACAGCAGACTTTCAGTGGAGCACAGAAATGAAGGAACGTCCTGTTCCCTTTGCTTTGATCATTGTAGCATCAGAGAAACAATAGCACAATAAGGGGAAAAAGTAAGAGCCTACGTTGAATGTTGAAGGGGACAACAGTACAGGTAGTCCTCAACTTACAACCAGAATTTCCATTGTTAAGCAAAGTGGTTTTTAAGTGAGTTTTGCCCCATTTTATCACCTTTTCCCCCCCACATTGTTAAGTGAATCACGCAGTTGTTCAGTGAATCTGGCTACCCACATTGACTCTGCTTGTCAGAACCCAGTTGGGAAGATGACAAGTTGTGATCACATGATCCCAGGACGGCGTCACTGTCATAAAGACATGCCAGTTGCTAAGTGCCCAAATTTTGATCACATGACTATAGAGATCCTGGAGCAGTTGTGCAAAAACCGATCGTGTCTCTTTTTTTCAGTGTCATTGCAACTTTATATGGTAACTAAACAACGTGAGTCGAGAACTGCCTGTATGAATGTGTCCCAGTCATTTGGGAAAGCAAAGGAAAAAGAATGGGAACCCAATGTGCCCAGAAAGGATCCGTGAGAGATCCGAATCAGGCTCAGTCAGCAAGCCTTACCTGCAGGGATGAGAAGGGCAAGGAATAGAGAGTGACCAATTAGGGTCCAGACTGAAACACTAACCCAACCCGGGTACAAATTGACTGTAATCTGAACTGGAATGTTTAAATCTAGCTTCAGAACAGCTGGAAGCAGTGTAGGAGAAGATCAGTTTAGGTTGCTATGCCTATTGCATAATTGCCCTTGATTTATCTCAATTTCCCTAATAGCCATAACCGTTTCTTCCATAGCCACTGAAATCCTAACATTTTCTAACTCTTAGCCAAGCCTGCTACAGCCCACTTTTAAGAGATCCCAGAGTTCCTTGCTACATTTCCATGGGATCCTCCCAGGGATGGGATTCAGAAACCCCAGCAACCGGTTTGCTGCCCAGCTGCTGGGTGGGCATGGCCATGGTGGGTGTGGCCTGCCAGAATTTCCGGGATGGCCGTTTTTCACCTTCCCAAGGGTCCAGAGGCTTCCCTCGGGCCTGTGAGAGGGCAAAAATGGCCTCCCCAGGGCCTGAAGGCCCTTGGGAAGCTGGAAACGGGCCTGTTTTGCGACTTCTGGTACTTCTGGTAGGGCCGTTTTTCGCCTTCCCAAGGTTCTGGAGGCTTCCTTCAGGCGTCTGAAAGGGCGAAAACAGCCTCTTCCAGGCTCTAGAGGCCCCTTGGAAGCCAGCAACAAACCTGTTTCCGGACTTCCAGAAGGCCCATTTTTCCCCTTCCCAGAGCCTCCATGCGGACCCTGCACCTACCTGCATTTAAAATGAGCCACGTGGAGACTCCTGGGGTGGTAGGATGGGGTGAGAAAATGCCTCTGATAAGTGTTTCCCTATCACACCATGATAAAATGAGCATGAAAGCTGACTGACTTTGGACCAGTCACTCTCTCTCAGCCCAACTCACCTCAGAGGGCTGTTGAGGGGAAAATAGGAGAAGGAAAGTATGTTAGATGTGTTTGCCACCTTGAGTTACTTATAAAGTAATAAAATTAGGATAAAAGAATTCTAATCAGTAAAAATAAAACAAGTCAGATACATAGTCATTAGTCAGCAAGATCCGACAAAAATAAAACTTATTTGGTGATAGTAGGTAAATAACAATTACTTCAGTCTGAAAGCCTTATCAGATGTTCCTTAATGTTCAAAATAAAAATAAAAATAGAGAAGGCAGGAATTAGGTGAGCCTCTGATGGGGA